ATGGAAGTGTTTTGAATGTGACCCAAGGCCACTACTGTGGAGCTGGTATGTTTGTGCTCTAGTCTGGAAACCAGAAAGTAAATAATGTTCTTTCTTGCATCAGGAAAACCTTAGTTAGGGATCCCTCTTTGGACCATAATGGCCAAGAGAAAGGGGTTTCAGAGTTGATCCAGTCTAGGCCAGTTGTCCACCTGATCCCAGAGGTGGTGTCCATACAGTCTGTCCTGAGTCTCAGTCTGTCTGTCATGGTAGGGAGGACATGGCAGAATTTCATGGTGGTGGCGGTATGTGGTAGAGGATTCTCACATCATTAATGAAGCAGAGTGGCCAGAATTAGGGACCAGGCTAAAACCTTCAAAGCCCCACCTCTAGATGGCTGCTAGTTCCTTCCTCCTAAGGCTCCACAGTCCCCTTCCAGGCACCAATAGCTATGGAACGTACATACACCCAAAGCGTGGGTCTACGGAGATACTTCAGATTCAAAATGTAGCACTCCTTAAGAGATTTGACAAGGTGTTACAGCCTGGACCAAGACAGAATGTCACTGATAAAACACAGATCTGTGTCCTTTCTTTTGGATAACACCACACACAAAGTAGTTAGAAGAACATGTTCATATAACTGTGTACTATGTGTCTCTTTGGGTGCAGGAGTGTGTGTGTGTGTATGTGTGTGCATATGTGTGTGTGTACATATATGTGTGTACACGTGTTCATGTGCGCACACGTATGTACTTATGTGTACAGAAGCATGCACATTCTGCATGTAGCCGGCTACAAGTCTCCTAGGATTTTAATTCTTCCGCTGGGCTGTAAAGTAGGAGCATTGAAAGCTGAGACCAGAAAGCAGGACCTGAAAAGCACTCCTAAGCTCAACTCTGCAGCCTGTTCAGATGGCCTCACTTTAGACTGGAGCCTGCCACCCCACCCTCTGGAGGCCTAGTGGAGAGATTCCTAGCTCTGTTGCTGCAGTTTGAGGAAGGGTGTGTTTGGGGCAGAGCCTAGAGAATTAGCATGTCCAACAATTTCTGGCCAATGACAGTGCAGGTAGTCTGTGCCTGGTTACCACACTTGGAGAATTTCTTTGAGAAGTGCCCCACCCCCCAGTCTGGGTGAGTGCTCCTATTTGGGTTGTTTTCTGCATCCCCAGCTCTGCTCTTTCTCCTTTTGCTGGGGCACCTGTGCTAACAGATAAAAATAAGAGGATTCCCAGTAAAATTTGAATTCCAGATCAGAAAACTTTTTTTAGTACAAGTATGTCTGAGATGTATTATAATAATAGTAATAATTAAAAAACTCACATTCATCTGAAATTCAAATGAGATGGGCATCCAGCATCTAATATGGCCACCTTTTCATCAAATTAGGGTCAAGTGCCTCTCTCCTGCTGCTTCCCTGTGATTGAATAGGCCAGAGCTCTTAATGAAGCCTGCTCACAGAGGACTTGTGATTTTGGGGCAATCCACCTGCTCCCCTGAACTCAGTGAATAGGAATTGGTTTGTGTCCATTTCAGTGCTCTTGCTGGCTCTCTGCTTCTTTCTCTCTGTTTATCTGTCTGTCTGTCTGTCTGTCTTTGCCGCTCACAATTTCTTCACCCCATCTCTTTTCTGTGTGTGTATGGGAGTGACTTAAAGGCAGAAATCTGTGATGTGGAAGACTTATCCCAGCCAAAGATCAACTCTTGGCAGTGGTACAGAATCCTAGAGACCAATGACATCCCAGGGTGGAGGGGATGAGTGACATTTTGCCTGGAGGAGATGGCGATCACCAGCTGGCACCCCACATATTATGGGTTAGGCTGGAGTGTTCATGTGGTTGGTTCTCATTGTGTTGGGGTTGTTGGAGTTTGTAGAGGCATGGAAGGAAATTGACTCCACTTGGTCCCTTTAGCGGGCGGAGGGAGCCCGCTGCTATGGGTTTATCACAGATTGAGAGGCAGAGAAAAACTTGAGCAATCAAAGGCCTCCTGGAGACTTGGACTTGGCAACCTCCTAAATGGCCCCATTTGTCCCCTTCACTTGCCAGAATGTCATAATGCTGAGAGTGGTGATGCTGACAGCAGAAGGCCTAGCTGCTTCCCTTCCCTTCCTTTCCCTCACCAACTGCTGGTCCAAACCCACATCCTCCCCTTCTCTTTCCTCTGTACAGTTTCTTGTCTGGGGTCCTGGCTCTAACCCCCAGGCTTCTTTAAGAGCAGGAGGCTGGAGCCACATAGGGCTGAGATGCTGCTTTTCCTGCACATCACTCTGGGGCCTGGCCATGGGGGCTCTGTGCACATTTCCCAGCTTCCAGGGCCTGTCCTCCCTGCTCCATTCTTCATGGCATGGAAAGGGAGAGTGGGCTCAGGGGGGCAGGGTCTCTTGGGACCCAGCAAGCTGTCTATGGAGCCCTCCCTTCCCATCTCGACACAGGATAAAGTGGTGTGTTTTCTCTGTGGGTCGTGAAAAGCTCTTTCTTGTTTGTACTTGCCAGACCCAGGCATAGTGCTGAGGACCAGACATCTGCATAGAGAAGGCAACAAAGATGATGATCCCTGTCTACGTTGGTGGCTGGCTGCTCTGTCTGATACCTCTCATCGCTTTATTGAAGCTCTGGGAAGACAAAGCTTTCTGTTTGTTAAGCAGGGACACTGAGTACCAGAGACACGCCAGTGAGCCCCAGGTCACATAACAGGGCAAAGGACTGAACACAGCCATGTGACAGATGGCTCTCAAAGCAGCTGGGCTGCCTTCCTTCTTACCAGCTCAGGAGCCCCTCTAGCCACAACTCTTGAAAATGTCTGTCCTCTTTTACCGTCTGTTCCCTGGCTTGCATTCTCACCCGCGCGTCTCCTGCAGAGCCTGGCTGATCTATGGTCTGCTAGGGAAATGTCCCAGATCCCTCAAAGGACCGCTCTCCTCTTCTTTCATTTATGTTGCCATTCCTTCTCCAGCCTTTGAGCTGGTGACATTTTGAGAGGCTCCTTGGACTTCCAGGCCAGCTGAAAGATACGCCAAGTTCCCAGTGCCATTTGATTTTGGAGTCAAACTTGTTACAGAGAAGGCTGCTCTGGTTGCTGGCGGTGACTGGAACAGTCCAGGAGGCTCCAACAGCTACGGGTCTAGCTGGAGCCCCCAGCTCAGTTTTGGGCAGATCATGTGATTTGTAAGGAAATAAGCAGATAGTGACATTCCACCCAAGTCCTGTGCCCTAATCTAGGGGGGGGAGTGGGGAGCATGCTGCCTTGACCATGCCGTCGGGGTTCCCTTCTGATGTCATATTGACATGCTTACCATTTCCATCTTGAATCTGTTAGTCACATGTCAGGGGAGATGCTCTAATCCAGTTGGAGCAAGGATGAGGGATATAGCTACCATATCCTTTAACACGTTTAACAGGACCTTGGAGGATATGGATGAAGAAAGAAATAAAATTGCCGTGTTAGCAATGGGCTTTCTCATTGGAGAGACTAAAGAAGGCAATGCCAGCGAGTCTGTGTGCTGTCGAGTCGCCTGGTGCAGATTTTCTGTGTAGTTGCAGATAAAAAAAGAGCAGAACTATGTGGTCGTAGGAAAAGTCCTCTGTGGAGAAGTGTTGGGGGTGGCTTTGGGGACGCCGGAAGTGGGAGACAGATTCTATACATTCCCACGTGGATGCACGAGTGTGTGTGTGTGGGGGGTGTCATACAGAACAACATCATACGGAAGACGGTAACTAGTGATTGCTCTAAAATGCAGGATTCTGCAGGATCTCCATTTCTGCCTTTATCTTTTCCTATTGCCCTTGCTTCCTTCTGAAGCAAGGGAAGATTTGACCAAAGCGGAACTTTTGAAAAGCCTAGTGTTTTCCAGGGATGTACCAAAGTACTAGGGACTAGGCAACTGAAGACAGACATAGACCCTCGCTTACAGTTCTAAAAGCCACAAGTCTGGAGTGTCAGTGGAACCATGCTTTCTCTTGCACTGTCAGAGACTTGGATGAGCTGATAAATGAGGTCACACAGTCAGGACACTACCTGTAGGAGGTGATGCTTGCCATAGGCGTGATAGGGAGGGAGGGAGGAATCCCCTCTAGTTCAGGCTTATAGAAGCTCTGCGGCCAGAGCACCAGGGTAAGAGGGAGAAGGAAGGGGGCTAGCCGTGGGTGTTAGACTTTGCTTCACATCCAGTTCTGAGGTAGGGGTAGAGAACAGGCCCGGTCCTGCTCCTAGCTGAGTGTGTCACAGCTGTGCACAGAGGGGTCCTGTGCACGGTGTCACAGGAACCGACAGCAGCGGGTGATGGCGTGCTGGTCAGGAAGAGAAAATTTTACAAGGTGGGCTCTGCCTGGTGATCCTGGGAGGCAGGAGAGGGGCAGCCTGTTGGCCTTTGTTCTGACACGATGCAGCAGAGTCCAGGCCAGAAGGAGGAGAGGTCGTACCCTAAGGAGACTCTTCCTCCTTGTCCCTGAGTTCTGGTTTAAGTTTCAGGTTAGGGTCGCAATCATGGGAACCACTTTGGGTTGGGAAGCGCAATGTGTTCCAGGATTTGGGCAGCGTTCTCCAAGGCTCTGGCTGGCAGGAATTGGAACCTAGTTTCCTGCCCTGGTCCTAGATGCTGTCTGTCGACACACTCCTTCCCTCTTCTCTGTTTTCTGACAGCAGGAACCAGTTAGAGAGCATTGCCAGTGTCTCTGAACTTTAGTTTTGCTCTTTTTTTTTTTTTTTTGAAACAAATCTCACACTTCATTCCAGGCTGACACTGAAACTCACTATGTAGCTCAGGCTGGTCTCAAACTTGTGATAATCTCCCTGCTTTTAGCTCTCTAAGTGCTGGTGTTACAGATGCGTGGCTGGGGCTTTTCTTAAATTGCACTGTGCCTGCCTCTGCCCATCTCCCTTCACTTTCTATTCCCTCCTCTCCTGGCTTCCTCAGGTTCTAGGATCTGCAGTGTGGAGCTTCTATGCCCCAGGCAGTGCGGAGGAGGCTGGAGCAGACTGCCAGACTAAACTGTTTCCTCCTTGGGTCTTTTCCTGACACCAGGTCCCGCCTGGCAGACTTCCACGCCAACTGTCGAGCCTCCTACCGGACACTCACCAGCTGCCCTGCGGACAACTACCAGGCATGTCTGGGCTCCTACGCTGGCATGATTGGTAAGCTCTCCTTGTGTTTTCTGTGATTTCAGTGCACCCCCTCACAACCTCACTGGGGTGGGGAGTGTTGCAGCCCAGCCCAGGGTCAGTGAAAAAGACTCAAGGCACAACCTTGCCTGTGGCAGATTCAGAGAAGTGTCCAGGGGAAAGCAGAGGGAGGCTACTCCTTACTAGGAGGGGACCGTTTTTTTGTTACAAGGCCTTGGAAATTAAACTACAGCTTTCTAGGCCCTGCTAATCAGTCAATCGGGACTCTTATACTGAAACTTTCACTAAGTAGCTGATATTTCTTTCTTTCTTTCTTTTTTTTTTTAAAGATCTATTCATTTATTATGCATACAGTGTTCTGTCTGCATGTATACCTGCAGGGCAGAAGAGGGCACCAGATCTCATTACAGATGGTTGTGAGCCACCATGTGGTTGCTGGAAATTGAACTCAGGACCTCTAGAAGAACAGCCAGTTCACTTAACCGCTGAGCCATCTCTCCATATTTCACAGACAAGGAACTGATGCTTAGGAGAATCTGAGTTCCTTGACCAGGCTCACTTAGTTGGTAAATCCTAGTGCTGAGATCCAACCCAGGATGGGTGCCTTCATCTTTTAGATTCTAGAAGAATCACTCTGCACATTTGTGAGGGAGAAAGCAAGGACCAGAAGGCTGGGGCTGAGCTGCTGGGGTCTTTTCTGCCCTTCTGACAGCATAGAGACTGGTCTTCTCTCGGCCTTTGGCTTTTCTGGTCCTGCTGACTCCATGGTCACTAGGAGTCATTGTGCTCAGAGTTAGGATTGTAAGTTGAGGTACCTGAGTTTTGTTTGGTGTTGGGGAGGAGGGCAAACATGAACCTTTGTCCTATTGTGTCTACGCATCTTTTTTTTCCTTCCCTTTCTCCCTCCCAGGGTTTGATATGACACCCAACTATGTGGACTCCAACCCCACTGGTATTGTGGTGTCCCCCTGGTGCAATTGTCGTGGTAGTGGGAACCAGGAGGAAGAATGTGAGAAGTTCCTCCGGGACTTCACAGAAAACCCATGCCTCCGTAAGTCTGGGAAGACTTCCCTTTCTGTTTTGTAGTTGGAATACACTTTTGCTACCTGGGAAGGAACCTAGAGCTGCTCTGGTCATTTTCCTCTCATCTTCTTGGGATGGCCAATGATACCCGTGGGGCTTCTGTACCATATAGGGGTTCCTAGAGACCTGAAGTTTTGAGCTCTTGGAGATTTCATACCAGAACTGTCAGCGGGGTGCCTGAGCCTACCATCAGAATCTCTAAGCTCATGGGATGCCAAGATAGAATGATTTTCATTGGCTGTTCTGACAGCATCAACCAGCTTCCTTTGGAGACTGAGTGTTCCCATGAGGACCACAGGCACCCTTTCTTTGTGGTGGGTCTTTCCTCTTGGAATTGGTGACTTAAAAAAAATCATTTAACTACTGGTCTAAAGGCTTCAGAGAAAAGCAGTCACAGTTAAATTTGGCCTGCCTTTGGTCTTTGCAGCCTGGCATCCCTTGTCGATTATGACACTGGCAAATCTCTTCCCCCCTTCTTTCTCTCCTTTTTTCTTTCTGTTCATCTATTTTTTGCCTTCCCTTGCCTGGCATTGGGGATTCAGATTTCAGTGCCTGTCATTAAAGCACGCGTAACTAGGTGGAGGTAAATTGGAGTCATCTGTGATCCCAGCACAGATGGAAGCTGTAGGCTGCAGTTCTCTCTGGTGCCAGAGTTAAGATACCCAAGTCCTCCTGGACAAGGGGGGACTCAAGGTTTCTCAGAGGCTGTATCTCTTGAGGACAGCTGGATATTAGCCAGCTGCAAGGTAGGGACATCTGGTGGTCTACTCTGACAGGTTCCCAGGGCTCCCTAGAAGGACACAGACTGACGAGGAGATTGCAGGGCAGAGAGCCTTGTTGTACAGCATTGCAGGTGACCAGAGTGGCCTGTATCTGGACTGGAAGATAGCGTACTCCTCCTGCAGATCTGAAGGCATTGGGGCTTTCTTGCCTGAAAGTCATGGTGGTTGGGAGGTAGAACAGACTGGTTAAAGGATACTGACCAGCATTTGGTGTTGGCATCCAGTTCAACCTGGATGTGAGTAGGTGTCATTGGGGTTATGGAGGATATGGCTTGTATGGGTGGCCTAATACTGTGAGTCTCATACTGTAGCAGGTGCTTGTAGGAGAAGACAGGAACTAGAGGTGGAACCTTGAGATGGCTAGGAGATAGTCTGAGATGACATCTAGTGGATGGGTTAGAAGGCACCATAGGCTCCCAAGGTTCTGCCTTGGAGGACTTAGTTAGGTATAGAAGACATCTTCAGGACTGGCAATAAAGGGGAGAAAGCATTGTTGATGGTAGGAAGCTATGCATAGTCCACAATGAGACATGACTTTGGAGGAAGATATTTCCATAGATATTTGTTGAGTTTTAGGAATAATTTTGTTCAAGAAGTCCAATTAGATTGCCCCAGTGGATTAGTGCTAGTTGGTGGTATGGGATAGGAAGGCCGTCCAGGAAAACTCAGTGATGTGGAGAGGGAAAATGGCTGAGGCTGGGGTGAGGATCAGGTAGTACCTGAGTTGGCAAAGGAGTTGGAAGAGCCTGTGCCCAGGAAGCCATGGATGGGGCCTTCTGCAAGAGAAGTCTCCAGTGCTGGCCACCAAGAAGATGCTCCTGCCATCTTGGCCTGGCCAACTGTCTCTAAACTTCATGGCTCCACTCTTGTAGCAATTCTCATTTTGCTAATTTCTTTCCATTTTGATTTTTCTGTCTCTTCTAGTTTTTCTGTGCCATTTCCCTCACCAATTGGGAGAACACTTTATGTCTGAAAGGAGCCTTAGCAAAGTCAAACTCCAGTGTCCAACCATTTGTCTCCAGCTTGTAGGCTCCTCTGGGAGAGCAGTAGTTAGGAAGGAAGTTCATCAGGAATGACGGCAGCAGGCTCTGATCTTGCTATTTCTATCTGCCCTCTCTCCAGGGAATGCCATTCAGGCCTTTGGCAATGGCACAGATGTGAACATGTCTCCCAAAGGTCCCTCATTTCCAGCTACCCAGGCTCCTCGGGTGGAGAAGATTCCTTCATTGCCCGATGATCTCAGTGACAGCACCAGCCTGGGGACCAGTGTCATCACCACCTGCACATCTATCCAGGTGAGGGCTGTGCCTCTGAAGCTTGGGAACCGGAATTCGGCATAGCTCGAGTGCTCAGAATGCATCAGGGTCAAGCATAAGGGAATTCACTGAAATGGAACCATTGAAGGAACGCCGAAGGTTCCTTAAGATCAGGAGCCCAAGGGCCAGGAAGTTGGGAAAGAACATTTTTTTTCACCTCTTCGTTCATGTAGGCATTTTCTTTGCAACCTTGAAAACACTTGCTACCTAACAATATTGCAGTAGACAGACTGGGGTACAAGAGAAATGTAGTAGTTACCATTCAGCTGCTGTCTGCTAATTATCAGTGAGCATGCTGGGAATTCTCATCTTGTTAAATTCACAATGAGGTGACAGTGTTCTTTTTAAAAATTTATTTATTTATTTATTTATTTATTTATTTAATGAACCAATCCCAGTTCCCCCCCACTCCTTTCTTCCTGCTCCCCCCACCTTCCCCCACCCCACCCCCAATCTGCTTCTCAGAGAGGGTAAGGACTCCTCTGGGGAGTCAACTAAGTCTGTCCCATCATCTTGTTGGGGGAGGATCAAAGTCCCCCCTGCCCAGGCCTAAGCTGAACAAGGTATCTCTCTGTAGAGAATGGGTTCCACAAAGTCAGTTCTAGGGTTAGATCCTGGTCCCACTGCCACACACTGCCCAAGCCCCATCACTGTCACCTGCATTCACAGCCTAGTTCGGTCCTATGCAGGTTCTGCAGTTGCCAGTTCAGAGTCAGTGAGCTCCCACTAGTTCAGGTCAGCTGATTCTGTGGGTTTCCCCATCACGGTCTTGACCCCTTTGTTCATATCTCTCCTCCTTCTCTTCGACTGTACTCTGGGAACTCAGCCCAGTGATTAGTTGTGGATCTCTGCATCTGTTTCCATCAGTTTCTGGATGAGGGTACTATGATGTCAATTAAGATAGTCCTCAGTCTGATCTCAGTGAAGGTCAGTTAAGTTAGCATCTTCTCCACTATTGCTTAGTTTCTTAGCTGGGGGAGGTGACAACATTCTTACTCAACATTCAGGAACCTGACCCAGAGGTCTTAGGTGACAGACCCATGATCATGTACTGATGGTTGCTGGCATGAGACCTTCCTCTTGCCTCCAAGATTTACAGTGTTCATTGAATTGTCCATCCATCCATCCATCCATCCATCCATCCATCCATGCAATATGGTTTACAAACTCTGTATGCTGTATCTTATATGAGCTTTTAGGGAAAGATACATTGGTGAATGAGATTGATCCTACTCTGGGTTGTGCAGTGTGCTGGTTAGATTTATGTCAACTTGACACAAACTGTAGTCATCCCAGAGGAGAAACCTCGATTGAGAAAATACCTCCCTAAGATCAGGCTGTGAGCCAGCCTGTAGAGCATTTTCTAATTAGTGGTTGATGGGGGAGGACCCAGACCATTATGAATGGTGCCATTTCTGAGCTGGTGGTTCTGGTTTCTATAAGAAGTCAGACAGAGCAAGCCACAGGGAGCAGGCCAGTACACAGCACTCCTCCATGGCTTCTGCATCAGTTTCTGCCTCCAGGTTCCTGGCCTGTTTGAGTTTCCTATCCGGGCTTAATGCACTACAATGTGAAAATGTAAGCCAAATAAACCCTTTCCTCCCCAACTTGTTTTTGGTCATGGTGTTTCATTGTAGCAGTAGGAACCCTAACTAAGATATATAGTCTTTATGGCCTTGAAGGTCAAAAGCAATGATATCCTTCATTGTAGTAGCTTAACTGCTAAAGAGGTTGATCCTAAGCAGGCCACATACAACATACTGACTCACACATGCACACACTGATACAGATGTAGACACAGATACACACACACACACACACACACACACAAACAAACGCACACACACACAAACACACACACACACACACACACACACACACACACACACACACACACACCTAGAACAAAATATTTTGAAGAAAGTTTAGTCCAGAATGCCAAAGGATAAACAGTGAGGTGTGTGTGGAGGACACAGGAGATGGCTCGGGCAGGACTTCTCAGAGACTGGCTGGACACACTGCTGGGGTCTGGAGATCATCAGCAGGGGCACAGATTACTAGAAGGTTTGCGAGGAGCTGAAATGGTGGGCAATGGGCTTCTCTGATCGGTAGTACGTAACATTCATAGCACCAGGATGAGAACTTGAGCGGGTTCCTCCTGGCCACTCACCAATCTGTGCTGGTGACCCTCCTGATTAGGGAAGACACTGTTCCTTCCGCACCTTGAACCTTGGGGTCTCATTATCAGTGACAAATGCCTTTAAATGCCGTCAGTTAGAGGATTAATCCCTTCATTGAGTCTCCCTCCCCAGTTTGGGGGAAGATACCCATGTCATCTTTGACTGCCTTCTAATTACACTGGGTTTACCTGGTTTACTGCCAGGGGAGGGCTCAGGTTCCTGCTCCGTAGACAGCTGTCAGCTCAATTCCATGCTGATGTGGTAGACAGTTAGGTTGACCTGAGTTACGCCACCTGCTAGATGACCAGACTCAGGCACAATTTGCCCTTCTCATGCCTTACATGACCCCAAAGGGTACCCTTGATCTTACGCTTCTTGGGACAGCTCACCTGTGAAGAAGCTACATTGGCAGAAGACTGGTATTGCCTATACTTTCTCTGTGATCCCCTGTGGGCACAGAGAAGCTCAATGCTGTGGTAAGAGCTCTCACTCCAGGCTCTTCAGTGCCTAACCATGCGGAATCTCATTCTTTCTTCTTAGAGAAATTCATTCTTCACATCTTGACTAGTCAGTTAACTATTGCTATAAGTGAGCCTGTTTGTGTATGATGTGTATACACAGGTACACATGCCATAACACATATGTAGATGTCAGAGGACAGCTTTGTGGAGTCAATTCTCTCCTCTCGCCACTGTGTGTGCTTTCGGGCTCAAACTCAGATGGCCAGGTTTGCACAGTAAACACCTTTACTGGCTATGTCATCGCATGGGCCCACATTGTTCATGTTCTGAGTTTCTAAAGCATCCTTGTTTAGTTCCCCCCACCCTGACAACATGGGCTTTCACAGGCTCCAGTCTGGGGGCCTGTCTTAATCCTGATTTGTTTCTGTATGGGAGGTGATGTAAAAACGCTGTGTAGACCCAGCGATGCCGCTCAAAGGTGGGGATTATGAAGCTCCGGTGGGCGGGAGGCTCCTTAGCAGGTAGTTCCTGCAGGGCTGGCTGCAGGGATTGTCAACCTGGCACCTGTTGGCTAAGTCATTGAGCAGGATGCTAGGGACAGCCATTCCAGAAGGCAAGGAAGAAAATCAGGTATTTAGGAGAGACCTGTTCACCATTCCCTGCTGGATTCCTGCTCAGAAATGCAAGGGGAGTGCCTCCGAATCTTACTATTCTGTAGGGAACCCCCTTTAACATGCCAAGCTGGTCTGTCTTTTCCGGCTCAGCTGGGGGCTGGCCTGAGGCTCTGCTTCTTCCCACCTTGTATCCCTCTCCCAGGACTGGGGAAGATGGGACCCCTCCTGGGATTAAGGCTGTAGAGAGCTCCTTGAGTATAGGTTTATTTATCTGAGTCTATATGAGCCCTTTGAGGCAGGGCTCACACACACACACACACACACACACACACACACACACACACATGCTTTTATTCATTTTTATGTGTGTATATGTGACATGTCACAAATGTAGATGTCAGAGGACCGCTTGTGAGAGTCAGCTTTCTACTGTGGGGTTTTGGGGACCAAACTCAGGTTACTAGTCTTGGTGACCAGCACCCTTACCTGGTGAATCATCTCATCTCCCTGGGGCTGAGAAACTTAAGGGCACAGCCCCAGCCCGTGAGGGAGGGGAGCAGTGGATCTGAGTCAGTGTTCTGGCCTTAGGTATTAGAATTTCCAGCTCTCTGTTTCCTCCCCACCCACGTGCGGCTTTTAGAAAAACCGGAACCCCCCCTGCTGTTTTGTGTGGTGACTAGAACTGGGTGGAGGGGCCTCGGGTTGGCTGTTGGAGGTCACTGAAGCCATTTGCTAGCTGCTGTGTTTCCTGGAAATCAGGAGGGCAGAGGGTTTTTTTTCCCCCCTCCAGCCTTTTGCTTCTAGAGTTGTCCTTATGCAGAGAGGTTGGGGAGTCCTTGGAGAGAGCAGGGTGCTGCCCAAGTTATGCTTTCCTTACCGGCCTCAGACCACAGGTTGAGTTGGGTTGCGCCTTCTCACCTTAAGGCTCCTTCCCTGTCACCTGTCACTTGGGTGCTTGGCTTCTGGGTTCTGCCTGATAAAAAATTACTTGGTGCTGCTTTGTGTGATGAATAGGTAATTTTGAGATCTGAGGGTCCAGTGTCTCACCTGAGCACCACTTAGGGGTGCATGCACATCTGTCCAGGCTATTTTATACCCGAAGAAACAGGCTCAGTAAGTTAGTCTTGGGTAATCAGCCGAGCCAAGTCTTGAGCCCAGGACTTTGTCGTCCTGGGTCCCTGCTTCTTACTCTGTTCCAGACCACCTTGGGACAAGAATTTAGGCTGTGACGTGTGGATGACCAAAGGGATTAGACAGGTAGAGAGTTCTAGATCTTGCAGCCATGGCCACATGGGCAGATCTGACAGGCAATCCTCACTGCATGTGGGTAGGCTCTCGTAGCCCCGGAATCTATTGTCCTTAGGTTTTGAAGGCTTCTTCGTCCTGATTGGGAGACATTGCTGGCTCTTGGTCACTCTGGGGAGGAATGTAGGCCTAGGTCAGGGGCCCCATAGAGCTTGTGTGTTCAGATCCTATCTCTATACTTCTGGTTGAGCTGGAGAATGAGGTTCTGGCTTGAGGCTCAGGAACATTTTTGGCTTTTCTTTGTGGTTTGATCTTGGTGTAGAATGCTGTGTGCCCATCAGTGTCCTGATGCACGGAGCCTGCATGGGCTGCCTGAGCATTTGTCCAGTCACAGGGCGCTGTGGCTGCCCCACCTGAGGTAACTGTTCAATCGAGTTGTTCTCTCAGCTCTTAGTTTTCTTAAGGCAATAGACTATTTTCAAACAATTTTATGTGTAACTCTGAAATACATTAATGAAACAAAGATGGGCACCTTTGATTGGCATGAGACAAGGTCCTTGAATGCTGTGGGGCTGTCTGACTCTGATTTACTGGAATTTCATATCTAGTAAGCCTTGAAATAGGGTGACATAGGACTAAGCCATGGGGCCACCGAGGGCAGGCCAGGCTTGCCACAGCCCATGATTAGAATGATGAAAGTGGTACTGGGTGCAGGTAGATTCTTGGCAGTCCACAGGAAGGATAAGGATAGATGTGGTATGGTGAGGATTTGAGTAGGGGAGGGTGCCAGATGGGAGACTAGAAGATAGGATGTCCTCCAAGATGAGATGACGTTGTTCTCCCTGTGGCCACCCAGAGCTTGGCTGGACTGGGACTATGCCTTGAGGAGGAACAGCCCATCTTTGGAGATACAAGGCCCTAGAGCCCATGGCCCTCTGAAGGTTGGGCCAGCTTTTGTCACCCGGGGACACTGGTACTGTGGTTTTGAGCAGGTTCCTCCTGGGTCTGATTTCTTTTGTTTCTCCAGTCTGGATCATGACCACACTTTCTTGGCCTGGATCTCACTGTGACAGCTGGGGCATCACTCAGTTGACCAGACGCCCAGGATGATCGGTTGCCTATGGAGTCCAAGGGATTATTGATAATTCTGGCTGAGAACAGTGACTTCCTCATAATTTCTAGGGCTTCCTAGGTGCTTCTAGTGGCCAGAGTGTCCACACAATGGCTGTGAGAACCAAGCTATTTGAAGCCAGGATAGACGTGCCATGTCCCCAGTTTGTTCCCATGGGACTCTATCATAGTGTCGGCAACAGAGAACTGTTGATTGCACATATCCTTTGGTCCTGCTGCCAAGTAGTTAAGTCAAGGTAGTGAATTTTGGAGCATTACCAGACTGGCTTTTCTTTCTCATCCCTTACCTCATCTGCAGAGGGTCCAGGTGCACACGTCTGTTGGGGTCTAAATGGCCAAGCACAGCTGCTACAACCCTAACATTCGTGACAGGCAGCACCAATCAATTACAGCTCTCTCTCCTCTCCTGAACTCAGATGAGGGCTCGTCATCCTTTTTCGCTCCACAGTTCTCCAGCAGCAATGGCAGGCGATGTGCTGGCACCCAGCAGTCAGTTTTCTCTGTGGCATTTCCTCGTTTGTGCCTGTGTGCACTTAATAAAACATTAGCTGAGTTGCCTTTGGAGCCAAACACTGCTCAGTGCAAGGAAAAGGCCTGTTCTCTGTCTCTGGGGAGTTGGGAGGAGCATTGGGAGAGGTAGATGGCCACTGACCACAGAATGCTGCAAGCTGGGGATCAAAGTTTCCTTCAAAAGCCCACAGGAGCCAGGATAAAAAATGCAGAGCATTTCAGAGGAAGCCGGGTGCTTCATGCTGCATGGGACCCAAACAGCCTGCTAACCTGTCGTGCCTTCTTTCCCCAGGAGCAAGGGCTGAAGGCCAACAACTCCAAAGAGTTAAGCATGTGCTTCACAGAGGTGAGTAGGGGCACAGTGAGGGGGGGGTGGGCACTTGAGGCTGGGCCCACAGGAACTGTTATTTAGGTGAGAGTTGAACTCAGAGCCCCTGGGCCAGCCGAACTTCTGACCCCGCTTGGACCTGAGTGAGAACTCACTCTGTTGGGGTGGTGGAGGCTCCAGCCAGAGCCTGTGGGTGTCTCCTTGATGACCAATAGCTGCTCTGAGCGGAGGCCCCTCCCACAGTCCCCTCTAAGACGAATGGGTTGGGTACTGCTTGGCTCTAGTTCTGTGGTGGTTACGGGGCATGGGAGTCGAGAAGGACTCGGAATCTTGGTGGAGCCCCTTGCCCAGGATTGTAGGAGTGACTCACAGGCCCAGGATAACAAAGAGTGGCACCCCAGTCTGCCGAAGGGCGAGGGAGAAGCTCTGTCAGATGTACAGTGATGGGATTTTGTGGAGAAAGAGTGTTTCCTCAGTCAGGAGCAGGGAGCAGGTGGCCTTCTCCTCTCCCTATCAATAATCAGGCCCTGATAAACCACCTGTTTGGAATTGTTCTTGTTTACTTGCTGCTTTTGAAATAGGATCCTTACCTTAGGGTCCTTACTGGCTTGGAACTCACTTTGTACTCAAGGCTACCCCTGAACTTAACGGTTTTCCTAACCCCGCCTCCTGAATGCTGGGATTACAAACTCCTGCCAGCGTGCTTGTTTGCCAGTGTGGAGGTCTACAGGTCCATTTACTGAGGACTGCTACCCATGGCCTTGAGGTTTAGAAGAGACAGAGTCTCCCATTTGTCCCTGTCTTCCCCAGTTCCCTGAAGGCACAGTTCTACCCTCAGAGGGCGAGGGAAGCAAAAGACGGCTCTAGGCAGTGAGAGAGGCGGGGCCGGAGAAGACAGCTTTCGGCATGTGTTTCTTTGACCACAGCCCTACTGATGGGTTTTTGTTGTTTTCTTTGTATGTGTCACCACCTCTGCCATGGATCAGCTCACGACAAACATCAGTCCAGGGAGCAAAAGGGTGATCAAAATTTACTCAGGCTCCAGCAGGGCAAGACTGTCGGCTGCCTTGATGGCACTCCCACTTCTGATGCCGACCTTGGCCTTGTAGGCCTTCGGAACCCAGCACAAGAGTTCTTCAAGCAACCCAGATGTGACTCCCACCTGACAAAATGGAAACACACACACACACACACACACACACACACACACACACCTTGCAAAAAAAGTTTTTTGTTTTTTTTTCCTACATTGTCTCTGAACCTTTCTCCGTTCAAGTTTCTTCTCTGGAGAAGTTTTTCTAAACCAAACAGACAAGCAGGCAGGCAGCCCGAAGCCTGCCTAGAGGTCCCCGGCAAGGGCCACCCAGCACCACTAAGGAGGGCTCGAGGCTCTGCGATGACTCTTTTCTCTTCACTGGTGTTTTCTCTCGGGACCATATGACGACCTGCTGTGGAAGGGACTTCGCTGTGCCTGGTGTGAACTGGAGAAAGGACAATGGCAGCTGTTTCTTGAGCTGCCTACTCTGGGGACCGACCCACCCAGGGACTAGCAGAGAGTGTCAGTCAACAAGGAAGCAGGGGTGGCCGTAAGGACCTTGTCACCTCTTCCTCTTGGCTTCGAAGATGGAGATGGTTTGCTGCCACCCCCAGCTCTTAGGTGGCCTAGTGGGTCTGAGTCTGGATTGGGAACCCCCATGGCTGCTCCAGGCCAATTGTGTCTGTAGCGTAGATGGGGTTAGGAGCTGTTAACAAGAGGAAGCTCCTCCAGGGAAGGAGCAAGCCTTGGTTGGGCACCAGCTCCAAGATGCTCCTTCCTCCTTCCTGCCAGGAATCCTGAAGTCAAAGAGAAATGATCCTCTGTTGGCTTTTTTTGGATTTTTTTTGTGGGTCCATTTGGCGGACCTCACTTGGGGAGAAGGGCTGTTGAGTGGGGGCTAGGGAGACCCTAGCTGGACATGTGTCATTAACACTCTGGTGGGGTCCCAAGCTTGCCCTTTCTCTCTTCTCCTCTTTTCCATTTTTCTCTTTCCTTATTTCTGAGGCATTCATCCACCATCTGTACATACTGGGCCTCCTTTCTCCACATATGTGTATATCCATATACATATAGCCTGTGATTTCCTCTTTCTTTCATTTTTTTAAGAAGCAAAACTATGGAAATAATACCCTACAGATGAGCGAAAATGTATTATTGTAAAGTTTATTTTTTTTAATAATGTTGTCTATGATGGGAAGAAAGGTACCAGGCCCCCTGAGCTCTGGTCCGGTTGGGCTGATGGGGCTGTGGCCGGGCACTCCCGATTGCATTCACTCTTAACCAAGCTCCAATAAATGTACTAGGAAGCGAGTTGCCTTCTGACTCACTCCCGTGACTTCGCCTGTGCTTTGTTCTTGGCCAGGGACCACCCTTACTTGAGGGTCCTGCTCGGCTGGCAGATGTTCGTATGTATTTGTATGTGTGCATGCACTGGTGTATCTGGTCCATGTGTCCTGTTGTGGCTGATGGATGGAACTCACATAGGAGATTTGTTTTTTTAACTTGGTGGGTCTGAGGTCTGCGGAGTCTGTGGGATCTTCTCCCCTCCTGCGTCACCTTCCTGGTCAGCACTGATGTCTGTTGCTGTAAGACTAGAAGAAAACTGAGACAGAAGTGGGGTGGGAGCATTGAGAGAGACGCCTGGCATCAGTCCTGGGTGATGCTTGTGTTTTTATGCAGCCCGGATGGCCCTGTCTACCTTATATGTAATGGAGTGGTGTCTCCTTAGGCTTTCTGGTCTACCTGAAGTGTGTGACTGGAACTTTAATCCTTGAGTCTCACTATAGAAAGAAGATGATTCTTAGTGTTTGGGGAGGGGTACTAAAGACCGTTTTTTAAATTTTCTCTATCCCATTCTTCTATCTTTCTCCATTTGCCACACAGACCCTACTAGGATACTAAGACTACATATACATATACATCACACACACACACACACACACACACACACACACACACACACACACGCACAAGGTAGGCAGGATGGAGAGGGAAAGTCTGATCTACATCTTTAGGGTTGCCTGTGATCCTGCCTTGTCACCCTATGGAGTGATGTCATTTTTCAGTTTCTCTGTCCTGGTTCTGCTCAAATGACTCTTATTGATTGTACACATGTTAGTAACATCTGTTCACAGTGGTGACATTGACATGTTATGCTCCAGCTTCAGCCTGGAGGAAGGACAGTGAGCCAGCCAGCTCTCTTCCCAGTCTCCTCAGCCTTACTGAGCAGGCCGCTTGAGAATACATTGTTCTTGTAATCAGCAAAGACTCCATAGGTTTGGAAGGGATTTCCTGGAAGGTTCTGGGAGGTGGGGGTTCACAGAATTGGAAGGGGATCCAAAGAAGGCTGGAGGAGAAAGTATAAAACATCTAAGGAGCATTGGGGCCTAGACCTTGGAGGCTGGGGGCAGACAAAGGCAAAGAAACAGTAGGACCAGGAGCAGGCTGAGGGGACCCACAGAGAGCAATTTTCAGTTACTCTGCAGTTATTTGGTAACCTGTGTGCTTACCTTAGTCATCAGATGTTATGACATTAGCTCCCTTAGCCACTGGCTCCTGAACATTCCTCATCCAGGGAAGATGTCCGTGTGCCAGGCTGCAATAGCTCTTGTTTCCTATTCCAAGACGTTGGCAAGTCTAAAGGCATATCTCAATGCTTTTCTACTTGCTGGGAACATCTGCTATGGGTGGTTATGCTCAGATAAGAGCCTGGACATCAGGTTCCTGTTGGCTCTTGCCTCTGCAGGCATCCTTTCTTGCAGCAGGAACACCAGGCCAGGAAGAGGGTCTGTGGAAGCCTGCAGTGGGTGTCTAAGGAGGCCCGTGTTCATGTGATCAATGTTCTGGACCTCGTGGGAGCAGTACTGCTGGTCTCACTCTGAACTTGGGCTCATCTTCAGAGCCAGGTCTCTGCCTTATGTTCATACTGACTAGTGGCATTGTCTTATTCCCGAGTCCTCAAACCCTGCATTTACAAGGAAAAATAGAGCAGGTTTCCCAGGATGGGCTTGAGCCTGATTTTATTGTTATTTCAAGAAAACAAGCTTTGCATGTTATCCTTAGGCCTAAATGTATCTAAAGGACCCTCCTGATACCAGTAAGCCAGGATGGACCCTTGTGTCTGCCCTAGGCTCTTGCTAAGGATATCCTAGTCACTGAGATGCCTGCTGATTCTGGGAGCTCGTGGGTTTGACTCACCTCTTGTAGCTTGACTTTGCTCCAAAGTTGCTTCTTCACATGTGTGCATGTGTGTATGCATGCATGTATACCTTGGTCTCTCTAGTCATGGACTGCTGAATGCCCAAATGAGATTGTGTTTCTCTTGCTCTTGGAAGAGCAAAGTTTCAGGATTACGTGCTGGCTGGAGAAATTCTTGGCTGAGACTTTTCTAATTTGTGGAGTGGATTTAAGTCAAGCAGCCCCTACCAAGTGGGTTAAAATGCCAGGGGATAAAACTACACACTCCATGTTAATACAGGTGAATCTATTCATGGCCAATTTTCCACTGTTATGGGTCTCCGTAGGGGTTGATGTTTGCCTTCTAAAAATGATGAAATTTTTAAGGAAAAGTCAAAGTAATTTGGAAGCAAAAGTGACAAATAAGACAGGTACTATTCATTGTGGTAGGTCTAAGTAGTGAAAAGCTGCCTTTGGGACACAGAGGGGAAATCTTGTCATCTTGTTCAACCTTGGGAGCCTCACTTGTGAAGTTCTATTAGACAAGCACCTGAGGCATCCTTTTCAATCTTAAATGAGCTCTGAGGAAGAGGGTAAAGGCCCAGAAATGGTCAGAGATGGACAGAAACCAACTCCCAGGCTGATGCAAAGCAGTCAGCTTGGTTTTCCTGACGAGTGTGTCTACTGCTCCCTGAGGCACTCCTTCAATATTCCGGACAAGGCCTGCATATCCAGTTTGCTGAGGGATGGCTTGATCTGAAAACCCAGCTGTACGACCTTGAACATCTTCTATATTAAAATAGGTAAGTAAACAGAAAGGGCTTGGAGGTCTTCTCGAAGACATTAGCAAGAGGCTGGGAAGACGGAGCATTGCTATAATCCCGCCATACCTGCATACATAAGGATCGCCAAGCACCCTGTGTGTTGCGATGTGAATTTATAACACATAGTTGAGGTCGGGAAGATAGTTGGATCCTTGAAGCTTGCTGGCCAGCCAGTTTGGCCAGTCAGTGAGTGCCTGGTTCAGTGAGAGACTCTGTCTGAAAAGGTAAGGTGGAAAGTGATCAAGGAAGACGCCACGTTGACCTATAGCCTCCATACACATGTATACACATGTCCATGTACTCACATACCCATGTGAACACACATACACCACATACCTAACATGCATACACATACACACAAATACCTAACAGATCACAAATGATGCTGAGTATCAATTCCTGAGAATGTCATTTACTGCATCCCATTGTCAGTGTAAAGTAGGGTTTGTTTTTTTTTTCTGTACCTGCCCATGGCAGGAAAAGATAATCCTGCATTTTGAAGGGATCATAATAGGATCATTGGAAACAAAACCCGAAATAGTGAGGCTGTTTTGAAATGTGCACATCTAAGATATTACAAATGCTCATGTGTCCCTGTGCAAGATGCTGTTTTGAAATTGTGTAAAATCAATCCTCCCTCTGTTGAGACTCAGGCAGGTTGATGCCATGTTCCTATTGCAGACACTGAAATAAGGATGTTCCAATCTATCTCAGATATTGAAGGAGGTGAGTGGTAGGTCTCAGACTCGAATTCAGTGGCTAGTACCAGACGTATGCCTCCCACCAGGCAGTCAGTTTGAACTGAACTGCTGTATAGATGACCTATTGTGCTGGCCCATAGCTGCCCAGGTAGAGACAGTCACTTCCCTGAGCTTGTTGCTGCATCCTTCTCTCCCCTTCAGCATCCTCATCATTTGTATGACTAAGGGTACCAGACCACTGGCAGACAGGGGGCTGAGTGTACCCTAAGGAGCCTGCGTGGCAGTGGGGAGGGAGTTCTGCAGTTTCATAAAATCAAGCATGGTATATACATGAAAGAGAAAACAAGGGGAAGGGGGCTGCTACTCAGTGACAAAGGACCTTGGCTGGAGGCCTTGCTGGTGGTCAGGGGAGGATGGAGCTGGGTAATCCACAGAAGCATCACCATCTCAAATTTCCTCGAGTAGATGAATGGTTTTGTTGGGAAACGGATTTTGTGGGAAGATGGACCCTTTAGGAAAGTGACCACCTGGGATCTTAGTTTACTGACCCCAGATTGTTCTTGCCTTGGGGGCCCGATGTTTGAGAGGAGAGAGGCTGAATTTGGGACTTAAAGTGATGTGATTTGAGTTATATATATATATGTCCCTGACCAACTAGGATTTCATGTCCAGTACCCTTGAATTGTCTCACATAGAAAATAATGACAGCAAGCTGTCTTCCTAGGAATGGTCAGGAATACGTGGGCTATTCTCTGTGTGTGGCATATAGTGCCCACTAAACCATGCACTGTCTCCCCCAGGGGTCAATATACTGGGGCTCTCTGATTCCCTCAGTGCCCGCCTTGATGCCCAGGCTTGTCTGCTTCTGGTTACCTTTGGAGCTTCTCCCCTCTCTTCCTTCTACATCCTAAGAGGATTTCCTGAATTCCCTGGGATAGACGGGGTACAACTGTCACTCCACTCCAGGGTGCTGCTCTTAGAAACCCTGCCAAGCGGAGTTGGGAGGGCAGAGAGAGTGGGGACATCAGAGAGCAGACATGCTTGTATTATTTGTAAATTGCAGTTGAGCTGATCTGAGAGTCACCAGGGACAGTGGCTGCAGAGCGTCTAAATGTCATGCTCTCTGGACTCCTTTGATTGGCTGTCCCTTCTCTAAGCGTGCTGCCAGGGCAAGTGCAGCAGCTCAGAACTGAGGACAGGAAGCATCGATTAGACACAGGGCTGAGCCGCTGGGAAGGTCAGCACCTTTGGGAGGGTGGCTGCCATGTCGTCCCCCATTGGGCCCAAGGTAAGAACAGAGATGTCTCTACAAGACCACGAACTTTCAGGAGCGCGCTACGGGAAGGCAGCTTTGAGCTTCCAAATCCAGTTTCTGAGGACTTGTCTGTGTGCTTTTTCTCAAGTCTGGAAGAAAGGTAAGGTCTAAAGATATCAAAATATCAAAGGATATTTTGTCCTTTAGGAGTCTAGGATGTTCTAGGTTTGATCTTGAGTCGGCTCTTGCTATCTGTTGGCTAGTAACATCAACTAAGTCGGTGAGCTTATGGGCCCCTTAATCATTTCTTTAGATAGTGATAAATACGTTAACATTTAAATTGTATTTTTATTTTTTTGTA